AAGAAGACTTTTTACAAAAATTAAAACAGGTGAAACAAACCTTTCCACTTGTGGAGTTCTGGATAGAGCAGATTGACAGATGATTAAAATGTTTCATTTAAATGCAAAACGTCTCTCTCTCTCTCTATATATATATATATATATACACACATTTTTTTTTATTATTTTGGTATAATTCCTGCTCTAAGTGGGTCACTCTTTCAGCTAAAGGCAATTTTTACAGTCTCTATACTCAAGTTAACAATTAATCGATGACTAATTAAGTTGATGATTATTTCAATGATCGATTAATCCGATTGTTTCAGCTCTAGAATAAATAAAAAAACAAGTGCTTCAGCTTTAAAGCAAAGCCTCACTTAATGATTCTGTGCAGCATCTACTAATAATCAGATAGCTAAAGGTTCCTTAAAGAAGATCATTTTACTAAAGGAGTTCTGGATAAAACAGATTGACAGACGAAAAGTTTTTTTTTTATATATATATTAAATGCAAAATGTTTACATTTTTTTTTCCAGTTTTGGTTTAATTCCTGCTCCAAGTGTGTCGCTCTGTCCGCTTAAGACATATTTTACAGTCTCTATACTACATTTAACAATTAATCAATTACTAAATTAATTGACGATTATTTCAATAATCAATAAATTAGATGAATAGTTTCAGTCCTAAACCAGACGCGGCTCCTAGAGTACGAGCTGTTCTACATACTGGTTCTAATTTCAGAGAATCTGGTGAACCCTGGGACGCCAACACTGACGGCTTTGTTTGGCTTTCCCCCAGTAAAAAAATATTAAAATACAGCGAGTTGCTCTGTAAATCCATGTGGAGATGAAACCAACGACCAGCAGACGTAGCGGAGACTTTTAGCCGCGCTGTGATTTACTTTCACCAGCCAGGTGGATATCTGGCAAAAAGCAAAAACCTTTTTCTCAGGTTAATCGTTCAGTGATATTTAAGGACGTCCCACTCCGATATCAGGCCAATATTACAATATTAAAATCTCTGATATTGGAACGTTGATAAGAACACAGAGTTTCTGTCTAAAGTTTATGTTCCCTATTGCATAATAATAAATGAGTCTCATGTCAATTATTGATGATAATTGTTCTCCTTTGAACAAATCTTTACTAACATTCTACACCACCAAATAATCTGTCAATTCCCAAAGGTGCAACATCAGTATTAGGACTGAAACAATCAGATTAATGGTGATTAATTAATCATTGAAATAATCGTTAACAGGAACATAGAGACTGTAAAACATACTTTTAGCTGACAGAGCGATCCTATATTACTCAATTAATGGAAAAATTAATCAACAAATTAATTGATTTGGGAAGTAATCATTAGTTGCAGCCTTAATTGGTATCATTTCAGAAATGTTTATAAGATCACAAACATTTTTCCAGATATTGTACATTCAAAAACATTAGAAATGATGTTACAAGCGGCAAATAAGCAGTCGCTGTTTATATTCAATAAATGTTTAAGCTAAGGCAGCGGAGTTATAACTTAAGGGGGGTTACTAATGTTTGAAACTAACAAAGCCAGAACTAATCAACTGAGAACTAATAAATGTGTGTCAGTTTTGGGAGCAAAATTATGGAACATAATCAGAGGTGTCAAATACTTCATTACTGTATTTAAGTACACATTTAAGGTATCTATACTTTACTCCATTACTTATTTTTCTTCCTACTTCTGACTTCATTACATTTTCACACCAGTATCTGTGCTTTCTATTCTTTACATTTTTATTCGTTACTCTTCGGTTTAATGTTTCTAAATCTTTATTTCCCGTCATGTGCTCCATCCAATGCAGATCATTGGCTCCGCCCACATTTAGTGAAAACTAGTGTGATTGGATGAGTCATAGAACGCAAACACTCATTG